TCTTAATAAAGTTGATGAAGTAGATCTTTAAAAGTCTTTTTTAATTAGAAAGTATATTGCTAAAATTAATATTTAAGTTTTTATTAAAAAAATAAAGTTTAAAAAAATAAACGCAGGCAAATTTGCCTGTATTACAATTTAAGGGATATATTAATTTAAAATTAATATATATATTTTATATTTTTAGATCATAAATAATTATGCAACTATGATCTCTAATAGAACAGTTTTTGATTTAATTCAAAATCATGAATTGTTTAATCAGTGTCACCAAATATCAGCAATATTAAAACCTATTAAAGATATGGTTAATCAATTAGAAAGTCAGCATACAACTATTGCTGATTGTTATATAGCATTAATTAAAATTGCAGCAGCCATAAATCGTCTTCCTAATGCTAACTTATTTAAACCTAAAGCAATAAGAATTTATAATTTACGGTTTAAAGAGTTTGCAATACCATTATATCAGCTTGCATACTATTTATATCCATTGTATCGAGGTAATTAATTAATATATATTAATATTATAAAATTTGGATACTTAAATTGTATAGTCACATAATTTATTAATATTATATTAATATTTAATAATAATTTAATAATTTACATATAAATATATTAGGTGTTGGACTAAAGCGAGGTCAATTCTATAAACTTTGTGAAATTGCAGCTACAATGTGGCAAGAATTAGGTTATGATGAAGCAACATGTGAGGATCTACTAATGGAACTTCGTGCTATTATCGAAAAGAAAAACCTTATACTCAAATATTTAAAAAAAAAAGGGAATCACTATTAAAATGGTGGTTAAGCATTGATGCACCAAAAGATTCATTATCTGAACTGGCCATCAAAATCTTTTCTATTTCACCCTCACAGGCTGTATACGAGAGGAATTTCTCAACTTTAAAATAGATATTTGGAGATCGCAGAACACGCCTTAATATTTTTCATTTAGAGGCAATAGCAAAACTTCAGACATTTTGCTATACTAATATTAAAAATGAATTAAACTTCTATGGTAAAGAATTGTTGAAGTGTAATCTTAAAGATAGTATAAATGGATCAACAATTAATTCTAGTCAATTAGAATTCAAACAATCTGATGAATTATTTAATTCTTTTGAACCTATTTCTGGATCTTATAATAATAATATACAATCAGATGATATGGATAATACTAATTTGTTAATTGAGGAAATAATTGACCTTACAAATCCAGCTTTCATTGGCAATAATAATTTATTTATTGGAAGTCAAGATACGGCATTAAACTATAATACTCAATGAGCAGGTTCAGGAAACCTTAATTACAATTCAGCAAACTTAGTAGCTCAAATTCTTAATGAAGAAAGTAACGAATAATAAATATATATAGTAGAAAATTGCATTTTTATATAGTAAATATGTATGAACATATATTATGCTAATAATATTTTCAAATAAAAATCTGTTGTGCATATAAAAAATATATTTGTCTATTATATTTAACAAGTTGCGGCAATTACAGCAAGTTATGATATACAAAATTAAATTACGGCATATATAAAGGTTGTAACATAAATAATTAGTATAGCATGTAAACAAATTATAACATACCGTAATTTAAAGCAAAAAGTTATAATTAGTTATAACTCAGTTACGTTACGACCTAACCAAATGATTTAAGTTCCGCCTGCACCTCTAGTCGAGACACATCTAACAGTAGTTAGATCATTCAAATTGGCCCAGTGGATAGTGAAATATCATCAAAATACGATTATCTGATTATATAAAAATCTGTGATAGAAATTACATATGAAAATCACTATTGGCAAAATGTGGCATACTTCTATCTAAAACTTTTTTTTTTACTAAATTAATCATTCTTGTATATTAAGTAAAAATTGTAGAGCTTGTCAAGACGCATCTAATGGTAGTAAAATCATCTATATCGACCTAGCTGATTGTATATATAAATCCTAAACTATATTGCAATACTAGATTTAATTGGGAGAGTAATATAATAATAACTAAAAACTGAAGTAGTGAGAGAAGTGGTGAACATAAGAATGGTCTGTAGTAAAGGATTGGCTTTATCAGATTTGAAAGCACCTCTAGCACCTTGTATAGAAAACTAAAATTAGAAGATTTAAATATAGAGTAAAGGTTCTTATTTAGGAAATGTATAAATTCGAAACAGCTAGAATATACCAAGCTGGTAGTATTATAGTACGAAACAGGTATGATAGCATTGCAAGGGCACACCAACTTTAGAACATCAACCAAGTTGAAAAATACTTAAATTGGAAGTAGTTAAGTATTACAAAATCCTGTTAGAAGTAATTTGTTTGGTTATGCAATATAGCCTATACTTAACCAACTATAGGAGTTTCTGTCTAAAATAAGAACACAGCATGCAAGTATAAATAAATGATTATAAGAACTGCGAAGGCTAATATCTTAAAAAAAAAAGAAAAGTTTAAAAGGGGCGTTAGTAGATAACAGACAAGAAGACAGTTAGAAATAATGAGTCTAATATTTGAAGGAAACACTGACAATGTTTATCATCAAATTAGGAAGTAACCTGTTACAGAGCCTTGATTACAATACTTATTTGGAAGTATATTTGTAGCTTAAGTGAGTAATGTGAAGAATATATATAGAATACTAATAAGGATAGTTTAAAATGCAAAAAATCTTAACTATACGTAAACAGAACACAGTTGGTTTAGATAAGAGATTAGGTTATAGATAAAATAGTCTAAGTCTCATGATCTTCTAATATATAGTTCTGTATATAAATTTGAATAAAATTGTAAAATAGCATATTGTATTAATAAAACACAAGGTACAACCTCACCTTCAACAAAAAAAAAAAAAAAGATTGTAATCGATTAGCATTGATTACAATCAATTGCAATCATTTAGATTTAAATGATTACAACTGATTATAATCGATATAAATCAATGCCAGTTATTTCTGCAGATAGTAATCGATTTATACCTTATTTTAAAATTTTCTGATGACAGTAGCTTTTTTTTTGTTATAGGTACTAACTTATTTCTTTTTTAGATGCTTTTTTTCTTAAAGTTATCATTCTTGATTGTCATTTTTGAAATCGTAGTGAAAGTCAAGATTTTGTTGGTCTAAGTATTTTTTTTTTTACTAGTTTTTTTGTTATAGATACAACTTCTTTTTTTTTAGATGCTTCTTTCTTGGAGTTGTTTTTTTTAAGTCACTGTTCTTAGAATCATCATAGTATAGGAGTCAAGACCTTTGTTGATTTAAGTTTTTTTTTACTAGTTTGTTTTTGTTTTTTTTGCTATAGGTAGTAACTTCTCTCTTTTTTAAATGATGCTTCTTTTCTTAGAGTCATTATTTTTGGAGTCGTCATTCTTGAAGTTGTCATTTTTAGAATTATCATTCTTAGAGTTACTATTCTTGGAGTCGCTATTCTTGAAATTTGATATCAGAGAAAATGAATGCTTTTGGTGTTTTCATTTTGTCTTCATAGAAAATTAATCGAGTTAGAGGCTCTATTATAGATGTATGAGGTTGGGCTAAGTATTTTTTTAGATCAAGATTTTTTTTTATATAAATAAAGTGTAAAGTTAGCACTAGATTAATATTTGTGTAATGATGCATCATTGATTTTTTTTAAAAAAAATAAAAAATTTCAGGTTTTACCTAATAGTAATAAATCAATCAAAATCAATTTTGTGAATTACATGTTTGCCGATTTGCTTTTTGCAAATCAGCGAACACATGACTTGCATGATCAATTTTGATTGGTCGATTACAGGTCGCTATAAATTAATACTCTATAAATATAATATAATTAATTATAATAAAATATATATATAATACAGTTAAACCCCTCTATAGTCACCTCCTCTATAATCACAAAATTAATATAATTACTAATTTATTTTTACTAATTCTTTATAACAATATAAAAAATACCTCTATATTAGTTATATCTCTTTACAATCACAGTTTATTGTATCTCAAAAGTGTAACTATAGAAAGGTTTGACTATACAATATTGTACTTATAATTAAATAATTAATTAAAATAATAATAATAATAT